GTGTCAAGCAAGAATGATCGTCAAATCCCAGCTCCGCTTTATATACCTGCTGTGGGCCGTGTGCAAAAAATACCTGTGCTTTTTATACTTGTTGCATCATCTTTTTTATACCTGTTGCATCATCTTTTTTTATACCTGTTGCATCATCTTTTTTATACCTGTTGCATCATCTGTAAGGGGGCCGTGTGCAAAACATACGATAGACCTACCTGACTACACAGGTAATACTTGGCAGCGATTCAAGTTATACCTTTACCTACGTTTTATACAGGGGTATAAATGAGAAGAAAAGTCTGATCCTTTCTTCACAATCGACTACCATGTCAACCCTGATACACACTCACTATCTGATTTTAGATGGGTATGATTGTTTAGTACAATGGGCACAAAACCACCAAGAATCTCTACCCCCGGAGACAGAACAAGTATTTCAGGAAGCGACCACTATCATGGAAACCCCTCAGGATTTGTGGTTACAATGCCTAGCCTTATCACATCTTGCGACGACCATGGGGAGACTAGCTACCATACATTTTCTATGTCGACATATGAAAACAATTCTGCCCCTGAAATGGTACGGACTGAACCTGACCCGTTATTTCGGAAAGCCTTACAGTTTCCTGACCCATCCCCAAGCGGCCAAAGTGATTTTACTGTGGCAGGACATAGATGCGATGGAGAAAGTATGTATTCAATACGGAATGAAATACCTGGAAATTTCACACAGGCTAGGAAATCAGTGACTTTAATACCAGCCTCAATCAAATCTACGAATTACCCCCGAAGACCGGAGAAGTCCCTGGATGGCCCTAGTAGCGGATCGAATACGATTTCGGAGGAGAATTCGACAGTTAGAAGCATTGTTAGTTTTTAAGAAATAAAAAAAATCATGTAATACTACATCAGTTTTATGTTATTGTATGACGTCATATATACACTCGGGTTCGGCCTTTCCCTCCTTCAATTTTGCTTTGTCACTGTGGTGGGGCTTTTTTTGATCACATGATCAAAAGCGATTTTTTTGTTATAGCCAATCACATTTGATCACATGATTGGTTTTTCCATGTTTTGCCGCAATTGCAGTATCGTCTGCTATTGTTTATAAATACAGACCCTCCGAGCGTATTCAGCATCATTCCTTCGTAGCTGAATTCCAGTTTACTTGCTAGAAAAAAGAAAGAAGAAGAAGATGTCTGGCGGAAATTTTTTTTACGAGGACCTGTTTCTTATTCCGGGTATATCATTTGAAAACGTGTTGATCCTCAGACGTTTAGACAACAACCGGGAACTGGTGCGAATAAACTTAGCAAGATTCCAGGTGAATGACAGTCATCGTAGGAGGCACCAGCCCTACAGACGGGAGGCACCCCGCTCGCCGCCACCACCGCCACCACCGCCACCCAGAGCCGCTACACCCACCCCCTAGGGACAGGCCAGGAACCAAGGGAGGATTCCCCCCTGGGGGTTTACCGTCCCCACGCGGCAGATTCTGTGCAGTTTATGCATGACAGAGGGGGAAGACACCAATTTTGTGTGTGGGCGCTGCCTGCAGAGGCCTGCCTGTTTACTTTGTGCGGCCCGGATCGTGGAGCGGAACCTATCCTGTCCGCTTTGTAGAAATACCGAAGCAGTTATACAACCCGGGGGGCAGAGGGACAGGGACGAAGATGACAGTTCCGACGAGGATGGCATTCAAGTCAGCCATGTAGTTCGACGTCTGCTGAGCCAGTAAAGTTACCTGAAACCAAAACCAGAGAAAAAACCAAAAAAAATTAAAAAACCAACAAAAATAACAAAAAAGCCCTTTTAAGGGCTGCCCAATCGTTTCGAAAAGATGCTTACTTAAACAGTTAAAAGAGAAACGTTATGTGTGTATCTTAGAAAAAAAAGATTTTCTTTCTTTTTTCTAAAATACAGTCAAAGAAACGATTGTATCTTAGAAAAAAAGAGGATCTTTTTTATACAGTCAAAGAAACGAAACGTTTGTGTGTGTTCAAAAAGAGTACCTTATACAGTCCAAAAAAAAGAAACATTGTGTGTGTTTCTCTCAAGTTATAACACCAGATCACTTTTACATTTTTAAAACTTTTTAAAAACATAAATTTTTTTTTTAAATTAACTTTTAATTTTTTAACTTTTAACTTTTTTAAAATAACTTTTTTTTCTTATTTATTTTTTTTTTTGGTAAACTTCCCTTATAGTTTTAAAGAAATAAAATCGGGTTCGGCGGCCATGGCGAATCTCGGCAAGATTTTACCCCAGTGAAAAAGGCTTGTAATCCACCGTGTAGGTCGTTTAAAGTTGTTTCACATTGTTTATGATTGTGATTATGTTATCACTCACCTATATGTTTAATGTCAGCTATGCTAAATAACCCATTTCTGTGTAATTTGAGAGAATGTTTTGTCATGTGCTTAAAGTATGGCCTGCTATTCATGTCATCATTTAAAGTCTATCCTAAATAAATCTGTCTTAAAAAATACATTTTACAAATGACATTTAATTGATTAGAGTATAGGTATCCATATATATATATATAAGAGATATTATTTTGCATTACATTTATAAGAGGCATTGTCTCATGTAATTTAAATCATAATAACAAAAATGGGTTTTATTTTCTATACAGTCCTCAACCTGGAAGATATGTTTTGTTCCTAACCATCTATAATCCATTCTCTATGAAGTGAAGCCTGGCTGCTGGTCTTCCTTTGGGAAATACACAGTGAAATAACTAACATAAAAACAAAAACAAAACTTGAATCTAAAAAGTTTCAATGAGATATCCTTTTAATTTATTTAATTATTATTATTAAGATGATTATTAGTTTTATTTTAAATGTTTATATTTTTAAAATGGATAAAAATAAATCTGATAATGGAAAATCAATACCATAAAGATAGCAAGTTTTGACTCCAATAACTGATGAATTTCTGAATTTTCCATTAAATATTAACATTATATCTCAGGGGAAAGAAAACTACTTGAGTGTTTCTACTACCCCCCAGAGATCTGCTTATGAGTGCATGGGGACTGCGGTGGACCTTCTCTCCTGTTTAAACAGACTTTAGAGTATGACAGATAAAAGGTACTTTTTTTTCTTCTTTATTTTACATCACATGAAAACACACAATTAATGATGAAGAAGAATGTACACATGTTTTTCATAAGTGTGTACAAATTGTTCAATATAATGTCTATAATGAATCCAATTTCCTTGGGCTAGTCCACAGGCAATCTTGTTAGGAAAAGCATAAGTCTGGAAGGTAAACTACCCATTTCTTGTAAACAGGCTTGAAACCATTGCTCTCTGTTTTGTGCTGTATCCTGATAAGTGGAAATTCTTTTAGGTCTGTGACTTGCTTTTCCATAATCCCATTGAGCTAGTAAACAAATGACCACAGGGGTTTGTGAAGTAAACACCTTAATAGTGCCTGGAATTCCTCTATCTTCTTCTACAGCTAAATTTCTAGTCCCTAGAGGTCTGCGGGTGGTATAGAGATTAGCTTGTGGGAATTTCTCTGCCAGACTTTGACTCAATCCATGAGCTTTTACAGTTAAACAATTACATTGATGAACAATAGCTTCTACCTCACAGTTGAGTAAATCACCTTGTATCTCCTGGAGACTCATGATGTAAAATGAATCTATTTTTTAAAAACACCCTTGTTTTTATAGAACAATAAAAACAACACAATAAAACAAGATTTCAAATATTTTTTTTTTATTCAGGTAAATCTACAATCTCTTGGAACTAATTCTTTGTTTCTCACATCAGGTTTTAGAACTCCATATTCTTCATAGTCACCTTGTCTATAGAAGGTTCTTACCAATTCTGGGGTGATGTAAGACATCTCAAAACAGGTTAATTTATGAATCTTTCTGTACATGTATCTCCCTTGGACCCTGTTTTTCATTTGAATGAATCCTCTCACATGATGAAGTTTTCCAGTTTCTGGATGCATTTCTTTTTGTAAGATCAAGTATTGATAATCACTTCCAATGATTTGATCTACATCTTCCTGTCGGCACCCAGTTAAAATAAATATCCAATTATTGGCTATTCTACCTCTGTCTTGTTTTAAGTAAGCAATATATCCATTGCCTGTATTTTCTTTCTGTTTATTCTTATAATGAGCCTTTATATCCTCCAAGAGTTTGTTTGCTCTTATGTTTTCTTTTTCCTCCTGAGGTATAAATTCTACAGGATGTTCTACAATCAAGGGAGGTGGTATGATATCTTTTCCTCCCTCCTGTATAAGTAACCATTCAGTTTCCTCTAATCTAGTGTTCTGACTCTTTTCTTTACTGGAGGTGTTACCCATAATGAAGCCAGTCCACAACTGAGGTGTGTTTTGTACCATGTTTACTATTTTATACTTTTTTTTTTCATTGTATCTATTTTTATTTTTCCCCAAATCTTTAAACCCTTACCATTTTTGTTTGTTTTGTGTTTTGAAAAAAAAAAATCTATGGTTAAAGGGAGATAACCTATTTTTAAAAATGACAAAAACCCACAATTTTTTTTTCATTCTTTATTAACAACAACAACAACAACAAACAACAAACAATGCATTTACAATACATTTTGATAAAAACATTGACACTTTTGTCCATGACCCGTAGGTAATTTATGATAAGTGTTTTTAAACCAATTCGCTACGTATCTGTCCCTTTGTAAAGCCGTACTCTGGTCAAAGGGGAATAGCCACTCGTCAGTTTTCTTTCTTTTCTTGTCTCTTTGATGTAAATAATACACGCAATATTGTCCACACACATCGGTATTCTAGTCTTGATAGCGATACGGATTATAAATCCATTGTTGAGCATGATGCTGGATAAAGTCTTGAATTTCTTTTTGTAAGGGAGGAAATCCATAAGAATCGAAATATTCCACCACGGGATTGCTCACATACAGACACACCCAATGTCGATCTTGAGGATCCGTATTGACCACGACAGCTTTTTCTCCAGGTCTCAATTGTTCCGTATCCATTTTTTAGTAATCAATGCTCACTTCTCTCTGTTTGTTAATTTCTAATAGGTTATCGAATTCTGCATACACCACACAATTGATGGTGTTAACCGTATTGTTGGTAAACTGCACTTCTACTCTCAGATTTCCTGTTTCTATGATGTGGAATTTATCCGATTGCGCCTCTTGATCTTTAGTGAAATCCCAGCCCCATAGAGTGTAGCCGCTTTTATACTCTTCTAGGGTAATGTCCGGAGCCAAATCTTCTCCTAATTTCCCCAGAGCTTGATACACACTGAGATAGGATCTCAGATATAAATCCTCGTTGAAATGAGGTTCAAAACAACGAGTACTCATGGTCTCTCCGTTGATACTGACATCTAATTTCTTAATCCCAAAGTTTTGGAAATGAAAGGGATTTTTAGTTTTATCTCCGTTAAAGGCCGCATTCTCCACAAAGCCTAAAATGAGACGTTTAGGCATCTGGCCTTGAAACAGATGATCTGTAATCTTAGACTGGGTCCCTATGGGGATGGTAAAGGTTTTCACTTCCACTCTTCTCAGGAGATATTTGGCTCTGTGGGTGTTCAAACTCTGATTAATGGTATTCATCATGACTGCTGTGGGTTTGACTTTTCTCACCCACAAGACCATACTCAGTATTTTCACTTTTCCTGTACTTCTTCCTTTGATCATCATGTAGAAAGAGGGTCTAGCTCAATTAAATCGCAAACGGACGTCCACTCCATTGGGTAGAAATCGATCTTGTTGAAACAAATCCAAATGTAAAATATCCAGCAAACTGGTTTTCTTACTCGCAGCAATAGCTTGGTGACGTTTTCTGAATCCTTCGTTTTTAGAATTGGCCGGTAACGCTGTGAGGATGGGTTGGTTAATGGTCACCGTGTCGGGACCACTACTTACAGCTGGGGTTACATTAAAGGTTTTATTTTGAGTTACACCAAGATCCTCTATCCCCACTTCGTCCATGTGTCCTGTCGTATCTTTTTCCCATAGACTACAGGCCCTCGTCTGTGTCTTTAAAGTTCTGGGTCGGTAAGACAATAATTTCTCCAGATAAGCTTTGTAAGGATAGGTATCCGTCCCCGGGGTCACTATTTTCCCATTAAGACTGAGATCGATTTCCGTAAACATGGAATGTAAGATATTATTCACTGGACTGCAAGTGCTGTTCGCCCCATCCAGATTACTTCCATCGTCTTTGGTAAATTTACATACCATTTGAAGATAAGTTTGAGATAAATCCAGATAGTGATCTCCTTGTCCTTTAATTTCAAATTCGATAGGAGCGGTGTGGGAATCCAAAGTACTGGAAATGGGGTAATATTCTTCCCATTTCGAGTCTTCTAAAGCAATATTAGTCGGAGGGACTTGAAACAATTGTAAATTGTTCATCCCACACGCACAGGAATCGGGCTGTAACATGATGTGTCTACTAGGATTCAGTTTTCACAAATGAACCTTCTGTTCACTGGACTGCTCTATTAATACTCTCTCTCTCAGTCAAACACATCTAAATGACGTTTTCTTTTAGGAATTTCTCCTTGTTTTTTCCTTTTTCTCTTAGGACCCCCTCGGGCTAACAGGACTCTTCCTCTCCCTGTCTGCTTTCTTCTTTGTCTTCTTCTTCTTCCTTGACCTGTTTGTCCTTTCTTCTTCTTTCTAAAGGGTAAAGAGACTCCTCGATTGAAAGCAAATAGACCTGTATTTTTAGCTGCATTGAGTCCGTGGGTTAAAAGAGCATTTCTGATGTTTTTTTTCTTTTTCCCACTACATCCCGGCCGATCTTCACTCCGGCCATGATGGCTTGTTTTTTCCCATGTTGGAGTAAATCTTTGACAAAACCTCGACCTTTTCGTGGCCCCATGGCTAACTGGGCCACGTCGTTGAGAGTCAAACCTGAGTCTATGCCCGATATGCGTAAGTTAGGGACCGCTCCGGAGAGGAAGTTTAAAAAATTGCCTCCTTTTTGAGGTTTCATCTGAGTTAAAATCCTACTCAATTTGAGTAATTGTGTAGCAGGAGGTCCGGGTGAAAAATTATCCAAGGGAAGGGCTCCCACCAATCCAGAGATGATAGAACTTCTGCTCCTCCTTTTTGACGTAAAAAACCTTTATGATAAGTCGAACTGTGTCCTCTTTGTCTCAGTAATCCTGGATGATACTGCATGCTTCATGTCTCTTGTTCAACTGACCTTTAGGTCCTCAGGGGACTTTCTTTTATACCCTCTTAGGGCGGAATACAATACAGACAGCAGACCAGACAAGCCATCACGCCCAATAAGATGGAACACAATAAGGGTACATTCATCTCAGTATACTTTTCTGAAATGAAGTTTCACCACTGATTTACCACTTACAAAGGGCATGGGTTGTCCTAAAGGAGTCATGATGTGAATCTCAATGGTATCGAAATGTTTTTTACTTAGTTTCAAATATTCCGCTCGAATGGGTTCCCATTTGGCTTGTTTTGAATCCTCCAAATGAAATGTACAAGGCACCACTCTTAATAATTTCAAGGCATTGGATCCTAGGGTCTGGGGTTGAATCAGATCGCAATACACATACATGGATTTTAGATTTTCATATAAATCCACAGTATTGTTTCCCAAGTAACTAATGTTGATCCATTTGGTCATGTTTTTTGCATCGTTCTGAAGAATGACTTTCTGACTGTCCATGCCTAGCTTATAAGCTAGGGATGTGGGGAAACGAATGCATAAGGGAGTTTTCTAAGCATTTTTCCATTAAACTGATACATCACTCGATCATAGGTCTCGTAATATACTAATTTCATAGAATTTTCTTCATCTGGATGACCAAGGGTTTTCCATATTTTTCTCAATGATCTCTCTAGTCCTTCACCTATTTCCTCTGTTAAAGCCTTGGGGTGAGTGTAAGGCCCGGGTCTGAAGTGAATTCGTCTAATTTCCATCTTGCTATCTCGATCGATGATTGAACCCCATTTAGTATGGGCCCAATCGAGCAGTAAAGGACATTCACGTAATGGCATTGGGTCTAAGGTTTTCATTTTAAATCTGCCATAAACATGGGGGTTTTTGATATGGGGAGCAAAAGACTGAGGGACCAGGATGTCAAAATAAGCCTCCTTTTCTGTAATGTTTTTCAGTGAATTGGGATACATCATTTTCTGTTAAAGCCACCTCCCATTCTCCGTCGGTTAAATCCACTGTTTGTGGTAATAAGGTTTTAAATTGAGCGGTCGTATTGCTAGAAAAAGAGGTCATAGACCCATCACTTGGTAAAGTCATGTAAAACCCACTGCTCTCAGCCATGTTCAATCTAAGACTGAGACCCTAGACCTTAGAACCTTTGTATTTATAACAACACTTTTTTTTAAAAATTCAAAAAATTATTCAATGATTTACACATCTATTTCTTCTTCTTCTTCTTCGTTTTCTGATCGGTCCTCAATCACTCGAGTCAACAAAAGTCCTTTGTTTTCCATCGAGTCTTTAATCTGGGCAAAGGGAATGCGACAATACACATACTCTGTATGACAATAATGAGGTGGAAACATCAGTCTTTTTTTCTCCATCTTGAAATAATATTTCAGACAATCTCCAATGTCCATGTACCATGGACTTTCATTCTGAATGGTGTTGATGGGTGTCAGACGATTCCTTTGAGTACAAGTGACCCATTTGTATTGCTGATAATGTTGGTTGATTTTCACCCTCACTCTATATCCTGTTAGAGGATGGGGGATTTTCATTCTTTTTTCCAACCACACATTCTCCAGGGAATAGCCTGGATGATTTTCATAGAAATCCATGATGGCTCCTATTTTAGTTTTCATCCACCCTCCTTGCATGTACATACACTGACTAATTGGACTCTCACAATACCAACGATACTGCATCTTTGTAAGAAAACACGTCTGACTTGTTTAGTGTCCTTTTTCAGAATGAGAGAGGGTTTGTGATATACCTCTTGATAAAACCCGACTCCTCTATTTTTTTCTTTTTTATTATATTTTATTTTTAAACAAACAACAACAAGAATTTAAAAAAAAAAAAACAAACAATTTTTTTATTCAAGTAAAAAATATACAACAATTTTAATGTCCTTCATATCGGCATAAGGGACAATTTCTGTAGCAGGTCACTGTGAACTTCTCTATACATTTCTCACAACAGGGATACTGACGGCATTGTCCGCATTTCCATTTTCCTCGAGTCTTTTCCTGGTAGCACATCATACATTCTTTCAAAGGTCTGTTCCTGGTCATTTTCACCCATCGGGGAGGCGGTATGTTCTCAATTCCTTTCTTCCAGATGAAATATTTCAGGCACCATCTACAGCCACAAGTCTCCATGGAAGGGGGATCATCTACCATCCAGTGTGGCATAGGTCCTCTACATTTACTACATCCCCAGTACCAAGCAACAACTTCTCCCGCATCGTTGTAGCCGACGTATTTATTTACCTCTGTCGTCTTCTCATTGCAGTGATAACATATTGCCTTTTCTACATCAATCCAATAGATCAATCTCCACACAAAAGACATTGCTAAATAATGAGTGCAGGGTACTCCCAGCTCCGCTTTATATACCTATCTGTTGCATCATCTTTTTATATCTGTTGCATCATCTTTTTTATAATTGTTGCATCATCTTTTTTATACCTGTTGCATCATCTTTTTTATACCTGTTGCATCACCTGTGAGTGGGCCGTGTGCAAAAAAATTAGGGGCCGTGTGCAAAACATACGATAGACCTACCTGACTACACAGGTAATACTTGGCAGCGATTCAAATCCGTGATTGTGACGTCATCCTTACAAACTTAGTGTATAGAGAGCGCTCTGTTGTGTGTATATAGAGCCCTTTGTTGTGTGTATATAGGGAAATAACTAGCAACACTAGAATGTTTGGTTTTTTTTCTTTTATTTTTATTCATAACAACAACAATAACAAGAACATCATAATAACAAACATTCAAAACTTCTGTTCAGTTCTTTTTGTATGGGAAACGATCTCCTCATGTACAAATAGTCTGTTTCACAAGCACAGTCCATGATATCGTATCCTTTTACGATCACTTCTATCAAATAGTCTTCTATACAATCTCTGGCTTTTTTCATCCATTTCCCATGAATCCAAGTCTTCTCGGGTCCCTGTGTTCGGTGAGCCAAGACATAATTGACTTTCCATTTGAATTCTCCATACTTAGGTGATCTGGGTCCTAATAAGACCATGTGTTTGCTTCTTTTGCGGTCCGGTAACTTGAATCTCTTATACAGGTAGATTTCATTGAGTCCTGTTTGTCCTGGATTCTTATCAAAGAAATCTTGAATACATGTCTCTTTGTTTTTCATCCATTCTCCTTTGTGATTAGTCCCTTCAGGTTCTACTATTTTCCAACGATACTCTGAGCTTAAAAATTTCATGATGTGCTCTGTCCCTCACTCAGATTAGAAATGATCCTCTTGGGGTTAGGGTGTCTCCTTTCTATATAGACTGGTTTATCTATTTTTAGATTCCGGTACTTGGTGAATTCGTCTTCTTGGCCGTAGGGGTATGATGCATCATAGTAGGACTAGGCATGATGTAACCGACCGAAGAACTCACACAGACCATCCAATATTCTCGATTAGAATCGTGTAAAGCTAACATGACCACACTCGTGATGATGAGGGAAATACAAATGAATA